AAGAAACTGGACTGCTTCTGGCTCCGCCGCAAGTCCTGTGATCTGTCCTGTCCTGCCCTGCCCTGTCCTGTTCATCTATAGGTATAAAGCAACAATAGAGGACTTTGGGGACGGTGCGATATGGAAGATTGAGGTTTACGCGTGTAAATTGATTCGCAGTAATTTACATGTACTAAGAAAAAAACGAGGATAAATGTACGAAAACAGTTAGCTTCACGGGTCGTTATTGGGTTCATAATTGAAATGGGTATTGAGGTACGCCATCAAAACATTTATTTGAGCGTCTTTTGAGCGTACCAAAAGTTTTGCGAGTGAGGAAACTGTGCTTTTTTGACGACTCAGCGGTGACGCTCTTGTTGCATGGGGAACTCATAATATATATTATGATCTTCATCATAGGAATAGCTATTACTATTACGTTTTTCTAAACGTCTTTATTATTTGCGTGTTTTCTTTTATTTGTACTCCAAAGATGGATAGTGCTAAACAATATCTGCAAAAAGTAGATAGTAAAAATAATGAATATCAATATATATCACTTCAATTTTAATTGAAATTACAAAATAATACGTAAGTGCAGTATAATCATTTCCAGGCATTAGTTGGTTTTTCCAATGTATTTAGAAAAAAATCTGTAAATAACGTTTTTGCCTGGCATGAAAATAAAATCATGTGGACTGTTCTGTCGAAAATCCCATGTACTAATATGCATAAAAACACGTGCAATTGACATTTGTCTAACAACTATAACGCATATAACAATGTTGCCACTTACTCGCAATCGCAAATTCCTAACCAGATTTAAATGGAGCAAATGCCTCAGGAATTTACACGCTTCCTTACTCGCAGACTAAAAACGCGTCTAACAGAGACACATGTGTTCAGTCACGTATATGTTATTCAAGCGGGACACACTCAGTGAAAATGTCTTTGCTTTTTATGGCCAATACATTTGCGTCCTCAATTCTTCGACATTCAGCTGCAATCTGTCCAAATTTTTCACTGACCAAAAACTCTATTTAGGAAGGATTGCTTCCGGAACTGTGTAAGGTCTAGTTTTAATTGCGGCAACTGGAGTTAAATTTTTTCATGAGATTTGTTCAACCAATCAACTTTCAAGTTACGTTTCATTTCAACAGGGTTATTCAGACGCAATCGATTTATTTTAATCGATAGCCTCGATGAGAGAACTTGCTTCCACAAACAAAACTTTTCGGTATCGAAACTCAATTCTCGACATTAGCAATCACATGCAATCGACCTCTTATCCGAAAAAGGATGCGATAAATAACGAGAATAATAAATGCCTTCCTCCTTTGGATAGCGATACATTAGCCCTGTAATCTAATTACCTCACGGTTAGAACTGTATTTTGTTTAGAGAGCTCATCAGTGCCGCTGCACGAGAGTATGGCGGTTGACTGGGTTTAGCGGTTGATTGATCAAGGTCAGGCTTGCCTTCTACTTTACATATTACTATTCTCACATCTTCGGATTGCATACTGCTTGAGTACTGTACGGGTTCCCGGTAGAATAGTTTTTCAGGAATGTACGATGAATCTCAATCTTGCCGCATTATATCTCAGTCTGATAGCATTTGATCTCCAATGTAAAGGGTGAGTGTGATAAGAAACTAGACTGCTATGCAAACAGGAGAAACGAACAACAACAAAAATATTGAAAAGTTTAGCCTTAATTATACATTCATTTATCCCTCAAACGATATTTTACTTAGTTACTCCTCAGATTACATTTTTATCAGAGACCATGCACCCATGAGGGGGTCTATCAGCCTAGACCTACGAAAATCAGGGGCGCAATATGCTCCGTGATGGTGCCTTTTCGTCAATGATCAAACACGGCGCTGACTCACTCTCAGAGATCCACCTAATGAACAAATCCATACACACATGTTGAATCCCTGACTCCTGGAGAGCGTTCATCATTGTTTCCATTCCTAAATCACTTCCATTATTTTATCCAAATGTTTTTCTTCCATCATCATCATTATCATCATCATCCTCATCATCATCATCATCATCATCATCATCACTTCATCTGAATTTAACTTAGAAGAGCGCGCTATTCTCACNCATCATCATCATCATCATCATCATCATCATCATCATCATCATCATCATCATCATCATCATCATCATCATCACTTCATCTGAATTTAACTTAGAAGAGCGCGCTATTCTCACCCGTTTGCAGTATTAGTGTTCGGTTTGCGTATAAACGAAGTAGACTTCCTCTGGACGCTGTCTGTTCACTGATACACTTTATTTACAAAACTTTAAACGATTTCCAAAACAATTGTTTGCTGTGTTTTCTTTGTGTTGTGTTCTGGCAAAATATCACAGAACCTGGTTTCACGATCCGTACCCCAGATATCCCAGTTAAAAGGTAGTTGTAAACAGCGCAAGCCTCTATTGGCAGTAGCAGCCCAACGTGGATTGAGGAAGGTAAAAACGTGCAAAAATGGTGGGATTGATCACAGTCTAGTCATTTGTTCGGAATCAGGGTTACGAGGTGACCGATGAAGAGAAGGGTTAAACCAAGTTGTTGTTCTCTGTCCGTTCCAGTGAGGATCACGTATCCGATGCTATGGAGAAAACACCAATACGTTCTCACGATGGTGGCCGAACCCAATCCATTTCATATTCCAACCGCGCGAATTCTCCGGGGGAGGGTTAAGCTACACCATAAACGACCTTTTCTTCTTCAGAATTTACTGACATACGCTAGCTTTACATCTTGATTGTCGTAGTTGCAAGACTATTTCTTTTCTTTTCATTTTACTTCCTTTTGTTGAATACGCAATGATATAATTTTAGGGATTCAAAGAAAGAAAGCCAACGGCACTGTTTGAAAATCGTTAGTGAATAATTCCGGAATCCTTTAAGGTGCTGTGCTTTACCCATACTTATTTTGATATTTATCCAAAATATTGATATATGCCAATGATATGGTCTTGTATCACCTCAAACCAATCTGAGATGAAATTATCTTCCGGCAGTCTCGTACAAGTGCATGTATTTTAGAACCAATCCGGTCTCCAGTTGAATGCTTTTAAATGTTTATGATGCGTTTTTTAATATTTTTACATTCGGAATTTCCATTGGAATCCTCAATCATCACTTGCGTACCCATTACCAAACACACACCACCAAAAGCCTTGAGGTTACCATGGGTCCTCCTATGTTTTAGTCTGTGTAAGTAGACAGCGTTGCTCATCCTTCCAGACGCAAACACTACGACAATTCAGATTGGAGTATTCAACTATATTTGCTTGTTTATCAAAGCATTTTTCCTGTCCTAATTTGTTGTTTGCCGTTATTTTTCCTGGAATACTTAATCAGGAATTTGTTATTCTTCTCCGCGGTTTGGTACTTTGTAGCTATGTTTGCCTTGTTCCCATAAACAATCGAATCAAAAGTGGGAATTGCGCCCATCAGTTGCTTAACGACCTCAGTCATCCGCTCGATCCCAAACGATCTGCTTGCTATTCTCTCGCTGAAACCCGATCAAATTATTCCTGTTTATCATTCAACATTAATTTTTATGGTAATTCAGCTCGTATTTCAACTGACAAGTTGATCTCAAACGAATTAATTTTAGATAGACAAAGATGATATTTTATTCAAGTTTTATCATTTCTGTTTGACGTTTTCATTTGTTATCCTATTGTTACGATGACCACGTTTTTTGGGACTCAATTGATTTGCTTTCTTTTAATTTGAACTTGGTCACTTAAGATGAATTTTACCAGTGACTCCCTCGTATTCTATGTGCACCCTGACAAAATGACACGGGTTATGAGGTCTAATGCCCTATCTCAAACGTTAACATCCTCACTGTAGTTTGATGCAGAGACTATTTATTTATTCATAAATTGAAAGTTTCAAACTTTCAATTATTAAAACAGATGTGATGCAGTAGCATTTGAGAACAGCAATTTATTCTGCTAATTTCTTGTTGTCAAAAAGACCAGCAATAAGTATATGATCAAATTAGTTTGCTCATATAAAACTCAAAATTTGACATTCAATTTGGAAAATGCATTTAACAGGTGACTTGCGGCCTATCATCCTTCGTTTCTAACCAAGTGACTGATGACCCAGTGTAGATTGCACTAAGTTTTTTCAAACGAAATTGGCCACTGAGTACAAATATCACAGTTCCTTAGGCAGACTAACCACGGGAACAATGGTATTTTTCAATTGCTTTTTACACTAAATTGAACGAGTAGAAGAAAACTATCGAAGTACTACCATTGTCACACTATAATCTTGAAATTATTGGTGTTTCAGCAACTTGAGGGACAGAGAGTGCGGTAAACTTGAAGTATAGAGACTCCACTAACACAGAAATTTCAATTGTTGGCTACAAAAGAATAACGAATGTCTTCCAGTTCACATTTGTAGCTATACGAATAATGATTTGGTAATTGAGCAATGAACAACAAACCTATTAACTTATTGTACTATTAAAGTTTGTATTTGGGATCACGAATCGAGAAGTGTTTATTAAATCTGTGGACCGTCTACTTGAAGTGTAATAAACCATTTATGTTTTTTGTAACAGGATTATTCTTATTGTCACCGCCACTGACTGTGACCACAATAATACCAATAATATTACGAAAAATAATAACACGGAAATCAGGATGGCAGAAGCACACGCCGCGGTCGCATTTTCTTTTACCGTCAGCTCGGAAGGAGTTTCCGTGGACATCAACCGACAGGCTTTCCGAGAATTGGAACTATCCGGAACACGTGCGTTAAAGAAACGCATAGCCCGATTCAAGGTGTGTGATGGCATTCAGTTTCATTCCACCCACCCCATCCTCTCCAACAACTCGATCTCTCTATCCCTCTCCCTCTCTGTCGAATTTGCAGAATTCAGTGTGCAATCAAGTCTATCCGTTTCACCCGTCCAGTTGGTTTTTCGTTGCTTTCGGCGTGTTCGCTGCAACCTATTTGGGATTGGACTACAAGAAATCTCCAATCCCCTATATTGAAGAGGCTTTGAAAAGGTGTGTGAGAGAGGGACATTATTATTACTTAAATGGTACATATTTAGCTTTACGGTTCACGATATCTGTTTCGAATGGAATAACAAAAATATACTATCATTTGGCTCAGAAATTTCAATTTAAGACCTTGTGTTTGCTCTGAGAGACCTGCATCCATAAGAAGAAGATGTACAAACGAATCGTTTGTGAGAATATACGTCTCACACTGGTTTGCCTGCTCAGTATCCGTTTGGCTGACAGTTCTGACACGTAGAATCATCGTTTGTTGTGTTCATAATTGGTGTATAAAGAATGTAAAGATAATCCAGTAATAATAGATACAGTATTGCAGTATTCAAAATATCCCAAGCTTATCAAACACCCTATTCTGTAGTATCAGCCCAATTGTGTATTTTTCTTGGTTTGACTTGATTGCATAGATTTGCGCTACCAGCCGGATGAAAGTAGACAAAATCAATGGTCAGTGCCTCAATAAGCTTGCAACCATGGGTTGTATATATTCAAGATAAAAAAGGATGATCAACTTCCCGGTGGTCGAGCGGGTAGTATGCTTGAGTTCTCTCTGTGAGGTCCCGGGTTCGGTCCCCAGCTGGGTTCATAGGTTCACACTGCTGATGAGACCTAATCAAGTGGGAAAATTTATTCATTGCCTCCTAGATTCCCTTTATTCACAGTCGCATTATTCACAAGGCAAAATCACCTTATAATATCGATTCTGTCTATATATGTCTTCTTGGGCACACACCCATCCCTCCGATTCTTAATTATTTGATCATTTAATCACTATAATGTTAACTTGTTCTTTCCCATGGGTAGTTGTGCATAAAACTGGGAACATGAAGAAACACACATTGCCGAACCAGATTAGTTTAATCCGATTGAACGGTATAGTTCGTCTGATACAGAACATAAGAAATGAGTTTTGGAAAGCTCTGAAACATTTAACCGATATTTTAACCTAGTTGGAAATCATCAGACGCGCGAACGGATCCAAGTGGTTAGGTTACCAACTAATGACCTGGTAGTCCCGGGTTCGAACCGCTCCACCACCGCCCGGCTTCCCTATTTCTGTTTTCCTAGGCAGCCTTTGTATGGCCGCGGCCCCTCTTCCTGAATGTTGACTGTACATTTGTATATTCGATAAATAAAAAAGAAGTAAAAGGACATCAAAGACATCATCACATCAACTGGGAATCGAACTTGGCACCTCACACCTCCAACCCAGTCCATTTGCAGTTAGCTAATCATACTGTTTTTGCATTTTCTGTACAACCGGTAACCACATCCAGTCTGATGAAACTTTCTTCCTACTACTTTTTTTGAACATCATACAATGGAAATGTTGAATGTGTTATGGATGTAACATGCACAGTGCAATCTACCAGAGTTACATTTCGATCGTACAAAATGCATGAACATTTTAACTCGGCAAAATAGCATACTAATGGACGAATTCACCAACCATTACAAACGGCCTTTGGAATTGTTTTCTAACGAGGGTAGCTTGCTCAGAGAAAAATCTATACAAACGCGAATCCGCCTAGTAGTGGTAGTGAAGACCTGTGAGCAATTGATGCTTGATTTTGTTTTAACTATGCAAACGGTTCTTACTGACTACCAATAGGCACGAATTCCTTTGATCAAATCACAGATCGTGATCTGGCATTGCCTCACCGTGAATGACGTGTGTGTGTGCGTGTGACAGAACCTCCTCCGTCTCATACAATCATTGTGTATGACTAACCAATTTACCGTTGTTTGATTTTAGCTGCAAAACTGGGTTTAATTCTCATTGGATTCGCTGGATTCCCCGGCACTTCTGATGTAATTCAATAACGCCAAAATACTTTCTTAGAGCCTACGGTCTCTCAATTTTAAATAAAATAAATGCAAATGTCTTTTTAATACCTTTTTTATTTAATAAATACACAAATATACAGTCAACATTCCGG